ATAGAGGGCTTTGTCTCCAGACTTGAAGGCAGCATTACGTTCTTTTAGGAGGGCCCTGACGTCTCTAGTCATCCAAGGCTTCTGGTTGGGGTAGACCCGGATGCATTTGTCGACAGTAACGTTATCGACACAGTTCTTTGTATAGCAGAGTACCGTTGTTGTATACACCTCCAGATCCTGGTTCTCGAAGACCTCCCAATTGGTTCTTTCAAAGCAGTCTTGGAGCTGAGAAGAGGCTCCTTCTGGCCATTTTTTCACCATCTTTGTAGTGGTGGGAGCTTTCCTTCTTAAAGGGGTATATGCCGGGATTAGGAACACAGAAAGGTGGTCTGACTGTCCCAAATTAGGTAGTGGAATTGATCTATAGCCTTTCTTGACATTTGAGTAGGCCTTGTCCAAGGTGTTTTTCCCCCTTGTAGTACATTTGATGTGTTGATGAAATTTGGGAAGAACCCGTTTTAAATCAGCATGGTTGAAATCCCCTGCGATGATGTGAACTGCATCAGGATGGGCAGTCTGATTGTAGTTTATGGTGTGCAGCAAGTAGCTTTGAGCTGTGTTGGCATTAACATCCGGTGGAATGTAAACAGCTGTAACTATAACAATGGTAAACTCACGAGGCAGATAGAAGGGCCTGCATTTAACAGTTAAGTACTCCAAATCGGGAGAACAGTGACTACCTATGATGTTGGCATTGGTGCACCAGTCGTCGTTTATATAGATGCAGAGCCCGCCGCCCTTGGTCTTACCGGAATCTTGTTTCTGTCCCAGCGAAATGCTGTCCGTCCGGCTAACTCCATAGCGGCGTCAGGTATGCGTGGGTTCAGCCAAGTCTCTGTTATCAAAATAATGCAGCAGTCCTTGATGTTGTTCATAGCGATTTGCAGTTGTAATTCATCCCTTTTATTAGCGAGTGATCTGGCATTTGTAAGAAATACACTCGGAAGAGGTGGTTTGTGTGGTTGTTCCTTTAGCCGAACTAGTAGGCCCGACCGGCATCCACGCTTTTGCTTCCTGTGTCTCCTCCGCCTTCGTCGCCTGCTAAGGCCGATAACAGTCCATGGAGAGCCCGGTGTCCTGGCTATCTCCTCCGGTATATTGTGTAACTCCAGAAATTCGCTTGTAACTTCTTGATTACATCGAAAACCTATGTTTAAGATATCTAAGTGACTGTAACTGTGATTCGCCAGACTGATTTTAACAGTTACGAGTAGAAAAACAAACAAAACCACAAACGAAAAGCACTGAACGGGAGAGCGTGAAGCCGCTGCATCTATGCGCGCCGCCATACTACTACTACGCTACTACTATATATGATATATTATGCAACAAGAAATATACAATAAACAGTAGCATGCCATGTTTCTTGTCACATGACCTCATTGCATGTGTACACCAGTAAGAGAGCCAGAAATAAATACAGGGATTTTGCTTTTTTTATTTTTTATTTTTTATTTATTTTTTTTTTACCCGGAATTTTGCATAAAATGTGCCAAGCTTTGTGTCAACAAAGATTGTAAAATTTGTAGTATTTTTCTAATGGTTGTTCTGTGTCTCTCTTCAGCATTGCATTGACTAAACTGGACATCCTAGATGTTTTGGATGAAATTAAAGTGGGTGTTGCTTATAAGATCAATGGCAAGAGAGTCCCATATTTCCCAGGTAAAATGATTCCTAAAAGTGTTGGGAAGTAACTAATTAAAAGTAATGACACTGCTTATTATTAAAATTTGAATTAGTTTGAATTTGAATTTGAAATTCTGAATTGGTTCTGAAGAATGATTCACTGAATCTTTTGAGTCCCAGCACAGATGTCTGTGTACTACATGTTTTGTGCAGCTAAATATTGTGTGTGTGTTCTGCGTGCGTGCGTGCGTGCGTGTGTGTGTGTGTATATACAGTGGGTACGGAAAGTATTCAGACCCCCTTAAATTTTTCACTCTTTGTTATATTGCAGCCATATATATGTGTGTGTGTGTATGTATGTATATATATATATATATATAATATATATATATATAAAACTGAAATTAAAATGGATAAAAACTATATAGACATTTAAAGAATAATAAAAATGACAAAACCACAAAACAAAACTACTAAACTTAACATTCAATTGAGAACAGAAAATGTAAAAATAAAAACTCTTTCAAAATATTAGTAAAAACTATAATAGTATCTCAGTCATATTTGATTGTATTTGTATTTTTGCCAAGCTTAAATGTTTTAATGCATGTGTCTGTTTACATCTTGATATCAAAATGTGCGTCATTAACATAATAATAAAATATTATTGCAATTATTTAGTATTTACTATTGTATTATTTAATTTTTAATAATAAACAGCATGGTTTGAAACATCTTCCAGTGTAATTGTAGCATAACTGATACACTATTATAGCATTTATTATAGCAAGATATTGTTAATATCTTAAAACTCACTTTTCAGAGTAGCTTTTATGTGATATTTTGTAATTGTTTTTTTTGTTTTATATTATATTGTTCTTAAATTGTTTTGTGTTGTTTTTTCACATAAATCTTTATTTTATTTTTGCAAAGCGCTTTGAGAAGCAACTTTTAAAGGTGCTATAAAAAAAATAAAGTGTATTATTATTATTATTATTAAAGTTGAATAATTTTGTGTTTTTGTCATTTTTATTCTTTTTCTCTTGTTTAAATTTAGCTTATGAGAACTCATTGGTAACGAGCTGAACATAAGTTTATGTTTTATTTGAATTTAGTTAAAGTTTAATTTATTTCTATAAATCTCTCTGTACTTTCAGCCAACATGGAGGTGCTGCAGAAGGTGGAGGTTGAATACGAGACGTTTCCCGGATGGAAGACGGACACGTCAGCGGTTAGGAAGTGGAGTGATCTTCCTCCTAAAGCTCAGAACTACATCCGCTTCGTGGAGAATCGCATCGGCGTTCCTAGTAAGTCCTTCACACTGATAAACCGCATGTTATAAAGCGGAGAGTTCCGGTGCTTGGTTCTGATTGGCTGAGCCGCGTTCGAAGCTGTTGTAAATGACTCTACAAAGTAACACACACCTTTGTTTACGTTTGTGTGTTGCTCGGCAACCACTTTGTTGGAACCACAACTGTTTCTGAGGAGCTACATTGTTTGGCGGAAGAATACTGTTTTTATTAATATCATTACACTTTATTTGCTCTGCTTTATTCTGTGAAACCTTACTACGTATATGGAATAACCGTTTTATAAAAGCGATAAGCCCCAAGAAGCCGTGGTTTACAGTGAATTTATAACAGCTAGTTAATATATAATATAATAGCTGTTATAAATTCACTGTAAACCACGGCTTCACGGGGCTTATTGCTTTTATAACATCCTCCTGTCTATCAAGCTCACGCTTGCATCTCTTCTCTGCAGTTAAGTGGGTTGGCGTGGGAAAATCCAGGGAATGCATGATCCAGATGTTCTAGGTTCATGAAGATACCTACCCACAATCCTCCTGAAGACTATCAGCACAGCGGGACTCTTGGTTTTACTGGTTGGCATTCATTAAGCTCTCTTAACAATGTTTTACTTGATGGAAGATCAGCTCTGAATGGCTGTTTATGTCCAGGCGTTATAACCATCATCTATCGGTCACGTTTACACCGATCATAAAGAGTGGCGCTATAGTTAATGTTGAGTTTTTTGTCATTTGATCATGTTTTGTTGAATTGCACTCTGTTGTTTCCAGTGAGACACATACAGCGAAACCCCTGAAACTGTGTGTATTTCATTGTTTTGGTTGTATGCATTTCATTTTCTGCTCTTAGAATAATGTCTCTCCATTAAAAGAGTTTTTCCTTTGTGCAGGCTTCTTTCCCAGCGTTTTGTCTGATGTCAGATATAATTAGGTTAGACACACCATTAGCTGCGTCAGAAATAGATTGGGACAGGGAACGCTGTGTTCCCCTCGTCTATGCCAAGATGATCTGATCTCAGAGGAACCGTAGTGCCGTCACAATCACAGACTCACAAGAAAAACTCAGATCAAACACTACAGGAATAAGGGAAAGGACAAGTCAAATAATACTCAGACAGTGGGTGTAAATAAACTTTTTAAAATGTTATTATTTATTGTTTTTATTATTTTTACACTATTTACTTGATGCTCTTTAATAATAATAATTATTATTTTAAATTAAAGATTTATTATATTATCTACACTTATTTATTTTATATATACTATTTAATAATTATGATTATTTATTTTTAAATTAAATATTTATTATTTTATTTACACTATTTAATTTATATGCTTAATTATTATTTATTAAATTAAATAATAATTATTTATTTTATTTACACTATACTATGTATTTATATTATTAAAATAATGTATTATTTTTTATTATTATTTATTTTATTTATACTGTTTAATAATTATTTATTAGTTTTGTAATTAAATATTTATTATTTACACTATATTATTTATTATTATTATTTTGATTTGTTCAACAGTGCCCTCAAATATCATATACACCACATACAAAAAGTACACTACAGGAATAAGGTAAAGGTCAAGTCAAATAATCAGACAGTGGGTGTAAATAAACTTTTTAAAATAAAAAAAGTTAATTTGTTTTGATTTGCACCCAAGTATTACATGCATCACACTTAGAAATTCTTAAATGTCATTGCATTGGATACAAAATATCAAAGTAAGTGTGATGTATTGCAAAGACATGCTGTAGCACATGCACACATTTTAAGCCCAAACTGCATTCATAATGCCTTTTGGCAGATGCTTTTTTAATCCAAAACGACTTTGAAGTGTATTCATCTCTCCGTGCATTTCCTGAGAATGAAACAAACCCATGACTTTGGCATTGCTATGCTTCAATCACCAGTTAAACTACAAGGTTTGAGAATGCTAAAACAACAGATGTAGTGTTGAAAGTGAAGAGATGGTCTCCGGTCATAAGCAGCAGTTGCTGTGGTTCGCCTGATGATCGGCAGGTGGCGCTGAGCGCATCCTCGCGTCTGTCCGCCGCTGCAGCGGGTGAAGAAGAAGAAGAGTCCTTAAAGCGTGAACGCGTGTTTGTTTGTTTGCGTAATTAGTTTATTTTTCGTCCTCCGTCGCTTTAGTTGTCGTGTTTTATAATCTGTCGTTTTTAAAATGCCCAAGCGCTCCTATCCGTTCAGCGAGAGCTTCTCCTCGCAGTATAAAGTTCATGTTGGCCAGAAGCAGATCAATAACTGCGGAGCTTTTGGACTCAAATACAGACAAGAGGTTTATGGTGAGATATAAACATATTTATTACAGCGTTAGAGTTAAAACAGCATCAGCAATATAAATCACTGGCATGTTTTGTAATTAAAATGATACAGTAAGTATAATCAAAGTGTTGCTTTATGATCGATCGTAGTTATTGCTGATCATAGAAACTTAATGCTAATGTTTACTATATCAGTCCAGTTAATCATGATCCATTTTCATCAGGCGGTGCTAATGTCAGCAGTTTAATCACAGCTGTTCCTAATTTAATTCTGCTGCTGAGGTTAATACGTTTCAACAGTGTGTGTGTGTGTGTGTGCGCGTGTGTGTGTACGTGTGCGTGCGTGCGCGTGCATGTGTACCCGTGCGTGTGTGCGTATGTGTGTGCGCGTGTGCGTGTGTGTGTGCGCGTGTGCGTGCGTGTGTGTGTGTGTTAACTGTGTGTGTGTGTGTGTGTGCGTATATGTGTTTCTTTTATTTTAAACCATTTAAACTGAAATATTTTAATCAATGCTTATAATTGCTCAAGTTTTTAGTTTCATTGCGTGTAATCACAACCTTACAGCGGCTTTTAGAATATTAATATTAATGAGTATTTAATAAGGTCATGTTTTTATATAAGTGGATACATTTATTTGTAATACACATTTTTTTTTTTTTTTACGGTTTCATATTACCAGCAGGCTATTTTTAGTATATAAGCTGTAATATTGCAGTATATAAAAGTAATATTGCTAAACGCCTAGGTTTTTCCCCCGTTTATGCTCTTGTCTTACCTGTTTGTTTCTTTTGTTGTTGTTTTTTTTCCTCAATTAGAAAAGACCAAAAACCTGCTCTTCAATGGGACCAAAGCCATGATGGGTCGAATCTGGAAGGCAGACGCACTTGTGTCCGGTCCGGCCGCTGTGTCTCCGGCTCCTGGACCTCAGACGCTTCTCAAAGGACAGACACGCATCGGGCTGGACGGACGGTTACAGAGAGCAAGCGCTGCTCCAGGTGAATCCATAAGAACAGAGCAGAGCCAGAAGTGATGCGTTCAGTGTGAAATAAAGCAAGAAGCCGTGTTTACAGTGAATCTATAACAGCTAAGGGGCGTTGTTAGGTACGACACGAAGCCTAAAACCCTTTAGCTGTTATAAATTCACTGTAAACCACAACTTCTTGGGGCTTATTGCTTTTATAAAACGGTTATTCCATATACGTAGTAAGGTTTCAGAGCAAATAAAGTGTAATGATATAAAAACAGTATTCTTCCACCAAACAATGTAGCTCCTCAGAAACAGTTGTGGTTGCTACAAAGTGGTTGCCGAGCAACACACAAACGTAAACAAAGGTGTGTGTTACTTTGTAGAGTCATTTACAACAGCTTTGAACTCGGCTCAGCCAATCAGAATCAAGCACCGGAACTCTCCGCTTTATAATAAGACTTATTTGTGCTGTTATATGATGATGATTACACTGTCCTGCATCATATCTGCTGAATGAAATCCAAGTTTCTTACTGAATTTTGTGCTGCTGATTCCAAAAGCGGTGTCTTTTGCTGGAGCGAGTCACACTTTCTCACAATGATGCATTTTGTTGCATTTTTGCTTGTGAGAATCTTAACCCTAAAAAGGGCAAAACCATAAAGAGACATCAGAAAATTTATTTATTGCTTTTTTCCATCTTATTGGAACTCAAATACAATTAAAAAAAGAAAGTATTAAAATTATACGTTTGTTTACTGTAAAGATAATGTAGTATACCATTTTTATTTTATTTTATATAAAATATTTTATAAAATGTTGCGCACTAAAGTTGCTATAAAATCAAAGCGATATGTCTAACCAAGTTATGTTCCAAATTTGAAGTTGATATCACAAAAATTGTGGTTCTTGTGAGATTTTGTTTGGGCACTATACCA